AACTCAGGTTGTCTACTCCATCTGGTAATATCATGCTTAAAAAAGAATTTAAATTGTCATTGTATTCACAAAAAAATTGGAACTATTTTTACAGACGTAATTGTGATCTATTCACCAGTTTATCTTGGGCATTAGAGTGTAATCAACAGCACATTAACTGTTTTTTATTAACCCTTTATAATCCAATTTAATTATTAGAGTTACACCCCCGGTACGAAATAAAATTTTGAATTAACAATAACTTTTAGTAGTGCTACTTTATCATGATGAATCTCTAAATATTTGACACTAATGGATTTCAAACTTTGAAGAAGCCAATATGGGATGTTGATCCTTCTTAAGAAAAATTGTTTTAGTATAACAGGTGTCATAAAGCAAGCGTATAATCTTTTATAAGGCATACTGCAGTTTTGCACATTATGAAAAGTATAGCGAAGCAAAACACGAGCATGAGCCTCTTATAGAAAGCCTAGTAAGTAATATCTGATGATCTAAAGAAGCTCTGTCACTTTGTGAAGAAGCTACAAACAGAAATCCTAGAAGTCATGACTGCTGTTGTTGCTAGGCAGATTGAATCTCCACCCACCATGAAATAATGGCATCTTGATGAAGTGGCTCTACTGTTTTGATGCACATCTCTCAGAATTCTAACATATCACACATTAAACTTTGTGACAGCACTGTGAAAGAGTTCGTTTGCTGGACTAAAGAGTATGAAGCTCAAAGAGCTTCAAGAAGCACAAAGGCGTGACGAGAAAATAGCCTTTTAAACTTTTATTTTTCAAAGACTTATGACCAGATGATGTGAAAACATCTTTTCCATGTGTTCTAGCAACTATAAAAGAAACTATTAAGACTTACCTAAGCCTTGAGTATCAAAAGAGAAAAGGTTAGAAGACATACCGCTCAAGTCCTTCATTACTATGGCGTTGCCAAGAAATTGTTACCATGCCCATTATTCTTTCATTGAAGAAAAGGAATTTTACCAATAAAGAATGTCTTTCTGCTTCAGCATAACTTCAGACAAGGCGGTAAGGGATTGTAATGATTTATATATAGAAGGAGTGAGTCATAGTGGGAATGTAAGACACACAAACATTATACACACCAGCTATAGTGACAATGATAACTATAAGATATGCAGATATTGTTATACATGTAGGACTTGCAGTTAGACCAGCTCTGTTAGCAGTACTTTCTGTGGTACAGCACAAAACAGTCTGTATCAACGTTTTCATGAAAAAGGTAAATATTGCATTCACAGCAAAACCATGTGGTGTCTCTCCTTTTATAGATATTTTGCAGAGGTCACAAGGATGATGATTTCCATCGCCTTTCACTGGAAAGTGAGCAGAGCAAAACTGTTTACGTGGCAAAGTTGGTTTCCTTCCCTTCTTCTTTCGAAAACTATAACCTTAGAGCGTTGCTTTTGCCAGAGCAGTATGGAAATCCTTGATGGTTTTTGTCAGTGCAGCCATCTCAGGATTTGCTTTAGATATTAGTAACGCGGTAGCGTTACTAAGTAGGATTCACCCCAAAACATTATGGCTGCTATGACTTTTGCAGCCTTGCTATACTGGGAAAACAAGCTCTTATGCATACCACACTTCTTAGAGGACCTAATCTTGACCAGAGGACTCCATTGGTACCACTAGCATTGCTCTAGACTTTGTTTAAGAGGAAAGTCAAATCAGCAAAAAGGCTGTTTTGTTTAGTCGTCTTCATCTCCTGTCAATCCAGTTGTCGGTGTGTATCTCAATATTTGCTGGTGCTAGAAGGCTACTTCTTACACCATTCTACTTAAACAGTCAATGCGTAGGTCCATGTCCCATTAGGTCATTCTCCAAGAAAGGAAGAAGTGACATGATTGTAGGATTGGTTAAAACTTACCTTATTCTGCCATTTTGTTAATTAAAAGAAACATGCGCTCCAAAATTTGGGTGTGGTCACACATGCTCAAATCTCAGAACTGAAGCATTTTTTTCACCTAGCTTAGCTAGGGTCAACTGCAATACTTAGTAGTGGAGGTTCCAGGCTTCCAGTTCTAGCTAAGATAAGTTTTTTAATCTTGGATATCATTGTTTTATTAAATTAAAAAACTAATGAGTTGTATTTCAAAAAATTACAAACAATAATAATGTCAAACTATGAACATGAACTTCACAACAGGAACAACACATGACAGGATTGCAATATGGAGCGCCATAGTGGACAAAACAAGGAATATTGATTTAGCTATAGAAGAGTGATGTGGCGATTTGTGAGGCACATCGCCTCATTAATGCATCAAATTCCTGATCGATTCTTTGATCGATTTTGCATTCATTACCAATCATAGATAATAACACCTATGCCTTAGTGGGCATGGTCATTACAAGAGGAGGAGCCTATCTCGCATGTGATCGTGTGTCCTGGCCATGGACATGGCTCAGCAACGATTTCTACAAAATTTCTTTGATTCTGCTATCAGTTATCTTAAAGACATACTAGTAAAAATTAAATCTGGTGAGTCTGATCCTCAAGCTGCTCTATTACAGTGGGAGCTATTAATCCGAGACTTCTCTTCTTTAATCGCTGACAGTTTGCAGTGAGTTAATGACGAATGAATATGTCACTTTACGAATGCTATTGGAAACTTAGCATGTCTTATAGCTGTATCAGTGGAGAGGGAAGAAATTAATAATTTTTGTGCCAGTCATCGAGGAAGAGGCAGACCTGCCATTCATATACTGAATGATGAACTTCGTTTTTTGAAAGGAAACAACTTCAAAAATGTTGAAATTGCAAACATGTCACTGGTCTCATCAAAGACCATTTCACTTCGCATAAGCCTATTTGGACTGGAATGTGTTAACGAATACAGTCATATCACTGATGATCAACTTGACACATTGGCAGAGGATTTCATACATGATCAACGTTTCAGTGGGCAATGAAGCTTTGAAGGTTACTTAAGAGCTCGTTCTCTTAGAATAGAACGTGTTCCCATCAAAGATTTTTTGTTTAGAGTCAATCCCTGTGGTGTGCAAAAGAGGCGGAGAAAAGCTCTTCATCGCCCAGTCTATTCTGTTAAAATGCGTAATAGTTAGTGGCACATAGATAAGTTGATCAGATGAAACTTTATAATTTTTGGAGGCATCAATGGTTTTTCTCACCTACCTGTTTTTCTTGAAGTTCACAACAACTGCACATTTACAATGCTCAATTGCTTTTTGAATGGTGTCAAAGAGTATGGACTTCCATCTAAAGTTCACTGTGATAAAAGACGGGAGAATGTGGCAGTATCACTGTTTATGTTAAATGAACATGGTCCTGAAAGAGGTAGCTACATAACTGGACGGAATGTCCATAATTAGTGTGTTGAGGGATGTTGGAGGGACCTCTTTGCTGGTTGTACATCTCTCTTTTATTACATCTACTACTACTTAGAGAATATTGAGGTCCTTAGTCATACAAATATGTATGACCTCTTTTGCTTACACTATGTCTTTTGAACCAAGAATCTCTCATCATAATGAGGTATATCCAGTGAATCAACAGTAACATCCAATGATACTTTATTTATTTAGTTATTCCGCGAGACATATAGTCAGCATCGTATGAGAACTGAGGGCAATAGGAGTCCTTTGCAGTTGTGGATCAGTGGAATGGCAACCATGAATGATACTGATGTTGTCAACACATCAGATTATGTGAGTTTATTGTATATGTCATTATTTTATTTTTATAAGTTTCCAAATGAATAAAAAGTACATTATGTTGTCGAGAGGTTATTAAGTAAATTGTCTCAGGTAAAGGGCCTCTATTATTTTTCCTCCATGTTGACAATTTATGAGGCACGCCCATTAATTATTCTTTTCTGAATTTATTCACCAATGAGATAATGTCATAAAGGGGAATGCTAGCTAGCAGTGATAATGACACACACACACACAATACACACATATAGACACGCACTAAATGGGACCCGTTATTTTATAGGACCTACATGCACCCATTATTTGTATGTTAGTTTTGATACTGTATAGGGGGTATATTTCCCAGAAAATAATTGATGAAAATCACCTTTCAACCTATTCACAAGAAAAAATTTTTTGATTTTTTCTTCTCAGTACTGACCATTATTAGTAAGGTAAAAAATAATTTTCATAGATAAAAAATTTTCACGAAATTTTTAAAACCGTTAAATTAGTGAAATTAAACACCATTGAAATATAAACCCTATACGGTATAGCCTTTTATTACAATAATATAGGATTGCAGATATGGAATTAACTGTGATGCCCTGTGTCATTGCAATGTGATGATGATAATGAGACATTTGTTCAACAGATACCTTGCCCTCTTACTGATGAGCAACTGGTATTACAAAGATATTGATGTCCTTGAAGTGAGAGATCACTTTGGAGTTGGTCTGTACATTTAGATTAGAGATTATGTTAACTCAGTTTCAGTGTGAACTACTGACATAACTCTAACTGTATGATATTTGATTGTACTTAATAATTTCATCTTTTCATGAACAACATATTGACAACATAATGCTTTAGATTGCAGGGCAAAAAGGAGGCTCAGTCATAATCATGATACAGAATAAAATTATCATAGGCTCATACATAGTGAATGATAAAAGGATAAGGCCATGTTTAAGTGCATTAAAATTAATTTACAAAACCAGGCAACTATTAGAGATAATGGTTGTCAAAACGGAATGTGTAAAATAATCAAGAATTCTCTTTCATTTGATGTCAAGAATGCCCAAAAAGTTACAGATAGTAACTATTGCAGGCCTTTTTTGTAGTGCTGCATGCAAATCATGAAAGGTAAATGCTTTTTCTTGATTAGTAGTCTACCAATAGCTCTTGGAGTTGGCATGTTCACTTGATGTTTTCCCCTGCACAAAGAATAGCAAAAGTGAATACAGAAATGGGCCTGATTCATTAAAATTTGCTCTGGTAAGGTAAATTTTGCAGCATTTAGCCTGGCTTTATCATATTGGGTCAGGATTAATGATAACATGTTTAACCAGTGATAAGAATAAATGATGAGAGCAAATGATACTTGTCTAACCAATGTCACAGTAAAAGTGATAAAAGTGCAAATATGTTTTTCCTTAATCACCATAATAGACCATAGCCTTGTCCATTGCCAGTCTAAAGTTGACATAATCCATGTGCTTCATAGGTATTACTAAGCTAAGTGCGCAAGTTGAAGCCATTGGATAAGTTTCTTCATGAAATGTCAACGTTGATGAGAACTGAAAGCCAAATACGGGTAGGTACTTGTATATAGAAAAATAAAGGAGCACATTTTGCAGTGGAAGTATTCCAATATCTGAAGTAAAACTAACAGTCAATTCACATGAAACAAACATTGTTACCTTCACAATTTTTGAGATATCCCTTAAAGTATTCGTAATCATCCCGCTCTAGATCATCATCATCAGTAAAATTCACAGTCAGTATTGACAATAATAATATCTAATATCGAATAGAATAAAAATTATGAAAATGTGGCAAATTTATATACCAGCTGTCAAATCTATCTCAGGTGCCGACAAGAAAAGCTTGAAAACTCAGTGTGATGAGACAAGTATATGCAGGGATTAAAGGGTAAGTGCCATGAAAATATCAAAAATATTAAAAATCATATTTCACTTTATTGATGTTTCATTACTTGCAAGAAAATGTTGAAAAACCTGCAAAAAAAAGCTGCACTAAGTTTGCAATTTTTGGCTTCTCAGTATTTACTTCCTGCGGTGGGCGTGGCCAAGCGATGACGCACTTGGGGGGGACTCATGTTTACATGTGTGATGGAGGCTGAATCAAGTTCTGGTGAAAGCAGCTATCATGAAAGCAATACTGATGAAAGACCAGATGAAATCCTACCTTACATATATGAACCAGAAGATAGTGGCACTGAGATCAGTGATCAAAGTTCAGAGGAGGACACAGATGACCCAGAAGATCCAGAGGGAAGATTAGTTAATACTAGTTGGTGAAAAAATCATTAATAGTACTATAGTCCCATCCAGTGGCGGATCTGGGCCTGGGC